TTACCCTGGCCGCTTTCCAGTTAATGTAAAACTCAATTCTAGATTCCAGCTGCAAAGTATGGACCCCATCCCCCCACTGCCAGGCCTGATGTAGTCCCAGCAGTCTGCTAGAAACAGCATGTTTGCAAATGATAACACTGGAATAACATAATGCTAGGCTTTTTATGCATGAAACCCTATTAGGTCTGCCAGTCTGAATCCTGGAAAGGGCATTGATATAGAGGCATTTAGTAGCAATTTAATTATAATAAAATTAAATTTAGTAGCAATTTAATAAAATGTCCCCAGGTCAAAGCTTGCTGGGGTGGGCTCCCCATTCCCATTTTCTCCATGTCCAGCAGTCAGGACACGTAATACGTCATACCCAGGGCTTTACCACACTCAGCCTAAATACTAAAGGTAAACCATGCTGTGAAGGAAGCTGGAGTCATGCTGTCCTTGGCTATTGGATGCCAAGACTCAGGGATAACCCTTTGGTAGTTTGGTGTACTACATGTACAACCATAACCCCGGAGAAAGATGAGTGGGACAGGGGGCCGCCGCGGTGGCTCAAGCCTGTAATCCCAGCACTTTGGGAGGCCCGAGACGGGCGGGATCACGAGGTCAGGAGATCCGAGACCATCCTGGCTTAACACGGTGAAACCCCATCTCTACTAAAAAAATAAAAAAAAAAAACTAGCCGGGCGAGGTGGCGGGCGCCTGTAGTCCCAGCTACTTCCGGAGGCTGAGGCAGGAGAATAGCGTAAACCCGGGAGGCGGAGCTTGCAGTGAGCTGAGATCCGGCCACCTGCACTCCAGCCCCGGGCCGACAGAGCGAGACTCTTCGTCTCAAAAAAAAAAAAAAAAGATGAGTGGACAGTGCTATGCTTTTTGTGTTGACAGATTATAACTTGCCACACAAATTCCATCATGGGCTTATTAACCTTTCCAGAAAAGTCTGAGGAACCACAGTGGCTTGTGGTTTTTCCCTGAGAATCAGTGAACATGGTGGTGCCCTAGCCCTGCCAGAGTCCCACATGGGTTCCCATTCACCAGCGAAAGCCTACTCCAGGAAAAATCAGACTTAAAACATAATCTTTTTCTTTTTTTTTTGTTTTTAGACGGAGTCTCGCTCTGTCCAGCCCAGGCTGGAGTGCAGTGGCGTGATCTCCACTCTGCAAGCTCTGCACCTCCCAGGTTAACAGCCATTCTCCTGCCCTCAGCCTCCCTAGAAGCTGGACTACAGCGCCCGCCACCCACAACCCGGCTAATTTTTTTGTATTTTCAGTAGAGGCAGTTTCACCGTGTTCACCAGGAGGTTCTCGATCAGCTGACTTTGTGATCCGCCTGCCTTGGCTCCCAAAGTGCTGGGATTACAGGCATGAGCCACCGACTCCGGCTTTATTATTATTAATTTATTTTATTTATTTTATTTTTTTTTTTTGAGACCAGTCCTCGCTGTTGCCCAGGCTGGAGCACAGTGGTCGGATCTCAGCTCACTGCAAGCTTCCGCCTCCCGGGTTTACGCCAATTCTCCTGCCTCAGCCTCCCGAGTAGCTTGGGACTACAGGCGCCGCCACTCGCCTGGCTAAGTTTTTTGTATTTTATAGTGGAGACGGGGTTTCAACCGGGTTAGCCAGGATGGTCTCGAGCTCCCTGACCTCGTGATCCGCCCGTCTCGGCCTCCCAAAGTGCTGGGATTACAGGCTTGAGCCACTGCGCCCAGCCAGCCTCCGGCTTTTTTTTTTTTTCTTTTTTTTTTTTTTTTTTGAGACGGAGTCCTCGCTGTGTCTCCCAGGGCTGGAGTGCAGTGGCGCAATCTCCGGCTCACTGCAAGCTCCGCGCCCCTGGGTTCACGCCATTCTCTCGCCTCAGCCTCCCAAGTAGCTGGGACCTACAGGCGCCCGCTACCACGCCCGGCTAATTTTTTGTATTTTTTGTAGAGACGGGTTTCACCGTGTTAGCCAGGATAGTCTCGATCTCCTGACCTCGTGATCCCACCCGCCTCGGCCTTCCCAAAGTGCTGGAATTACAGGCCTTGAGCAACCGCGCCCGGCCGAGCTCCGGCTTTAAAAGCATAACTTAAACTTCACAAACTCCATGTGAAATTGGCTACTGAGCACTTAAATATGAATAGAGTGAGGCTGGGTGCCGTCTCACACGTGTTCCCAGAACTTTGGGAGGCCTCCGGAGAATCACTCGAGCCCAGGAGTTGGAAACCAGTCTGGGTAATATGGTGAGACCTTGTCTCTACTAAAAATAAAATAAATTAGCTGGGCATGGTGACACACACACGTAGTCCCAGCTACTTGGGAGGCTGAGGTGGGAGGACTACCTGAGGCTGGGGAGGTCGAGGTTGCAGTTAGCTATGATTGAGCCACTGCACTCTAACCTGGGCGACAGAGACCCTAGGGAGTCTCTAAAAATACATAAAATACTGTCATTATTCAGCTATTTAGACTTGCGCTGTTCAACACAGTAGCCTTTAGCCACATGTGGCTATTTAGATATAACACAGTCAAATTTAAAATTTTAGGTCCTCGGCTGGGTGCGGTGGCTCATGCCTGTAATCCCAGCACTTTCCGAGGCCGAGGCGGGTGGATCACCTGAAGCCATGAGTTCGAGACCAGCCTGGCCAACATAGCAAAACCCCATCACTACTAAAAATACAAAAATTAGCCTGGCGTGGTGGCGCGTGCCTGTAATCCCAGCTACTCAGGAAGCTGAGGCAGGAGAATCGCTTGAATCCTGGAGGCGGAGGTTGCAGTGAGCTCATATCGCGTCACTGCACCCCATCCTGGGTAACAGGGCAAGACTCCATTTCAAGAAAAAAAAAAATTAGGTCCTCAGTCGTAAAAGTCACGTTTCGAGTGCCAGTCACTACCGTATCCACCAGCGCAGATACAGAAAATTGCCATCACATAAAGTTCTACTAGACGATCCTGTTATCGACAGAAAACCAGCAGAAGGACTGCTCCACCGCAACCCCTGGCACCAATTAAATCACCATCTGCGGATGAAATGAGAAGAGTAGTTTGCTTTCTCTTTTTTTTTTTTCCCCTTTTTTTTGAGACGGGCTCGCTCCGTCGCCCAGGCTGGAATGCAGTGGCGCAATCATAGCTCACTGCAGCCATGCCCTCCCCGGCTCAAGCGATCCTCCTGCCTCGACCTCCCAAAGTGTTGGGATTACAGGCGCGGCCACTGCACTCGGCGAGAGTAACTTTCACTGCACTTCTGAAAGCTCGTGGGCAGCTCCTGCCCCTAACAAAGATGGCGACACCGCCACACATGCTCCTAGCACTCTCCGGCGATCTGCCCTTCAAACAGACGGCCGCCGCCTCATCCAGTTTGAAGGCCGAACGAACACAACCACGCGGTATCCAAATCCCACGGAAGCCTACGCCGCGCAGAAACAGGACGGACTCCGTACGACTCTCGCGATAATACGGGCGGGCTGAAGGCTGCTCACATTTTACCAGCCTGAATAATCGCGCCCGGCGCCGTGGGGCCTAAGACTCTCGCGAGACAGTATCCACCACTTCCCGCCCGTCAGTCCTTCACGGTCCCCGAACCGCCTGCTGGTTGAAGTGCAGCCTGTCAATCAGAGTCGCGCTCGAGGCCCCGCCCAAGGCCGTGTACGCCGCTCCATACGTAAGTTCCTCTCCAGCCCCTGCGTAGTCGATAAGGAAACCCGGACGCCACTGCCGCTTTCCTTTTTCAGGCCGGCCGGGAAGATGGCGGACATTCAGGTGTGGGCTCGAGGCTTGGTGTCAGGCTGCAGGGTCCGCCCTGGACTTCAGGGGCGTATCCGGGAGGGCAGAGCCGGGCGCCCAAGTTCGGGGGTTAATTCCGGGCGTCCGTGATTATTTTCTAGAGATTAGCTGGGGCGGAGGGCGCATGCTTTTGCCTTTTTCTAGACGAGTGCTTCCTAATTCCTGGGGGCTTCGGGCGTTAATGGAGGCTCAAGCGTTTTAGGACTTACCTTCTTAAAAACCAAGTTTAAGAAGGTTTTCTTGGAGTTTTCCGGTCTTAAGGGTTAATTCTATGGAAAAGGACTCCTAAGGGCGAATTCAAGGAGCCTGCCGTTTGGTATTTAATTCTGAGTTTTTATGTACCACATAAGGAGTGAATCCTGGGTGGGCGACCTTGGGTCTTGGAGAGTGATCCTCGCTGGAAGATGTCCAGGGTGTGAGAGGGGTGGTCCTGGTTTAGAGGATGAATTTTGCAAGCCCTGGGAGGCCTTCTGGAGTATATAAATTGAAATAACCTCGGGCTTAGATCTGAGTATGAATTACAGGTAAGGTCGGGGTGGTCGTGTCTTAGAGGGTGATTCTGGGGCACCAGGCCTTGGAGGCCAGCGCTTTGCAAGTAAATGTAGAGAATGGGGTCTGGGAGGTTCTGGGAAGGTCTCTAGGGCTGGTTGCTGCCGGCTGCAAACTTAGCAGCTCATCAGTTTTCTCATACCTGTAGACTGAGCGTGCCTACCAAAAGCAGCCGACCATCTTTCAAAACAAGAAGAGGGTCCTGCTGGGAGAAACTGGCAAGGAGAAGCTCCCGCGGTACTACAAGAACATCGGTCTGGGCTTCAAGACACCCAAAGAGGTGCGGGGAACCTCAGAAGAAAGAAGGGGACCGTGGCGTCCCTGCACGTGTGCCCACATCGAGTTGCGTCTGAGTGGCCGGTCCCGGGGCTGATGGGAATTGTAGTTCGCTTCCCTGGAGCCACGCCCCCGGCTCTTTTCAGGAACCGCCTGCCCAAGGCTCACTCTTTTCTCTTTCCTATCCGTTCAGGCTATTGAGGGCACTTACATTGACAAGAAATGCCCCTTCACTGGTAATGTCTCCATTCGAGGGCGGATCCTCTCTGGTAAGTGCGGGAGTTCTTGGTGTCTGGGGCCTGAAATACTGAAAGAAGGGGCTTGGGGCCCAGACTCCTGGGTCCTGGGTGAGAGAGGTGGTTGGGAATGCAAACTTGTGGGTACAGGCAGGGGCATTGGCAGATGATGTCGGTTTTCACGATGGTCTTCAGATGCCCACGTGGGCACTGCTGAGAAAGCCACTTGGTTAAAACTGATGCCGGAAACAGGGCTTCTTGGGATTCCTGCTCAGCTGCTGCTGACTCCCAGCATGCCCCAGGTTACCCATGGCCCTCTTTCCCATGGGACTTGACCTAGGATCTGCCCCTGCTCCTAGGTGTGGTGACGAAGATGAAGATGCAGAGGACCATTGTCATCCGCCGAGACTACCTCCACTACATCCGCAAGTACAACCGCTTCGAGAAGCGCCACAAGAACATGTCTGTGCACCTGTCCCCCTGCTTCAGGTGAGCACAGTGGCCCATCAGGTTGCTCAGGCCAATTTAAGGCCAACTGAGGGAGTGGGTGACTGAGGTGGCATCTCTGGGAAGCCCCAGAGTCTCAGGATTTCTATATTATATGTTCTTCAGAATCAAAGTGTTCCACAGGTTGAATATCTCTGTCTGAAACGCTTGGGACCAGATTTTGGAATGTTCTCATATGCATAATGAGATGTTTTGGGAATGTGACATATGACATAGGTCTAAACACGAAGCTCATTTGTTTCATGTCCATCTTACTCACACAGCCTGAAAGTAATCTTACGCAGTACATTTTATAATTCTGTGTGTGAAACAAAGTTTGCATACATTGAACCATGGGAAAGCAAAGGTGTCATGCTGGTACGCAAAAAATGTCTGATTTTAGCTGGGCACCGGGCTCAAGCCAGTCATCCTAGCACTGTAGGAGGCTGAGGCAAGAGGATCCCTTGAGCCCAGGAGTTTGAGACCAGCCTGGGCACATGGCAAAACCCACTACAGAAAATACAAAAGTTTGCCAGGTGTGGTAGCATGTGCTGTAGTCTCAGGTCCTCAGGAGGCTGGGGTGGGAGGATTGCTTGAGCCCAGAAAGTGGAGGCTGCAGTGAGCCGAGATGGCACCACTACTCTCCAGCCTGGGCAACAGAGTAAGACCCTGTCTCTCCCAGACACACACACACACACAATTCAGATTTTGCAGCATTTCAGAATTTTTGGATTAGGGGTGCTGAACCTGTAATAGACAGGTGCCTTGGAACCAAAAGGTTACACCAGATGGGAACCTCAGAAATGTTGGAATTAAACGTTTGTTCATTCCCTCAGCGTGTTTTATTTAGAGCTTATCACGTGCCAGGTTTGGTGTGAGATGCTGGGGGTTCAGTGGTGAGCCAGGGACAAAGTCCTGCTTCCTCAGAGGGCACCTTCAGGCAGGGTGGGTGCCAGATGTCAGCCAGGTACAATGAGGGTGGGGATGTGGGCAGCTGATAATGGTGGCCCTCTGGGTGGGAGGATCTTGGGAGCAAGGTGAGAAGTCCTGTGGGCAGGGAGGAGGGTGGCCCAAACTGATGCTGAGCGGTAAGGGGCCTGTGGTCGTGGGTGCTACAGGATCCCCCTGCTGCTCTGCTGGAGTGGGGTGGTGAGGAGGCCACTGACAACCTGGGGGCCTCCAGTTTGGTTGTGAAATGGAGCTCGTCCACCCCAGCAGTCCTCAGAAGGGTGGTCGCCTGCTCTGTGTACAGCGTTGAGCTTGGTACTTGGCACAAAGTTTGTACCAAAGAATGAGAGGGAGGTTGAATTGGCAAATAGATCTTGGTTAGGGTTTGGTGGAGCCAAAGCAGAGAGCCTTCAGCCTGGCGAAGGGGAGGGAGGGCCTCCTGGGGTCCGCCGGGGTGGCCCCTCCTGAGGACATGGCCTTACCTGCCTCCACAGGGACGTCCAGATCGGTGACATCGTCACAGTGGGTGAGTGTCGGCCCCTGAGCAAGACAGTGCGCTTCAACGTGCTCAAGGTCACCAAGGCTGCCGGCACCAAGAAGCAGTTCCAGAAGTTCTGAGGCTGGACATCAGCCCTCTCCCCACCATGAAATAAAGTTATTTTCTCATTCCCAGGCCAGACTTGGGATCTCTGTGCCTTTACCAGAGCACTGGGGGGATGGGGGTGTCCCTCGGGGAATTGAGCAAGGCTGCTGTCAGGCCTCCTGCCCGTGTCTGTGGGTGAGGACAGTGGAGCCTGAGATGCCTGTCTTCCCCTGGGTCTCCTTTTTTGGTCCTTGTCACCTTTTCGGTGTCTGAATAAGGCTGATTACCTGGTGTGCTGTCCTCCCGCGTCACCTTTTTGGTGTCTGAATAAGGCTGATTACCTGGTGTGCTGTCCTCCCCCCCACTCCGGTCTCTGGGGAGGAAGTTAGTGAGGGCGGAGGCCCCTGGGTCCTCCAGGCCCTGGTCTGTCTCTTTCCTGACCACCTCGGGTGGGGGGGAGGGGAAGCTACAGCCCGCCTGCTGTGGGCATGGGCTCACCCAAGTAGAGTGCGATGTGCTGAGTCCCTGTTGTCTGGCTGTGAACTGTAAAGCTCTTGATTTCAGCCTGGGCTTCCTATCCTTGCTTAGAGCCAAGGAGGGGGCCCCATGCACCCACCACCCACTCCTAGTTGGGCACCTTGCCTATTTGCATATGAGGAAAGTTACCTGGGAGAGGCCAAGTCCTCCACCTGGAGTCCCAGTGAGTAGCCGTGTTCCAGATCTCAGATTCTAGAAACTTCCTTTGCACCGGCTGCCTCAAAATCGAAGTAAGGAGATTGGTGGTGTGGGCAAGTGGCATCATGACGCTGCCCTGGAGCCCGCTCAGTGGCACCGGGGCCCAGGCTGCTGGGAAGGAAGTGAGTAGGAAGCGCCCGGAGATGGCCCAACACCCAGGGGCCGCAGAGATGGGGGCCTTGGGAGGAACAGGGCAGGACAGACACGGTGGCCCAGGGTTGTGGCACATGGGGAGGAAGGGTTTTGCAGAGCTGGGGAGAGCACAGAGACCACTGGGAGAGGCAGGTACGATAGAAACAGGTGCACTTTGCGCATCACAGAGGTGGGATGGCAGGCGTGGGGTGAGGGGGCAGCAAGGCAGGAGCACACCAGAGGGTCTGTGGGACCCAAAGGGGAGAGACCTGCATCAGAGATGGGGGTACAGGGAAGGGAGGTCTGAATGCCTGCTGACCTCTTTCGGGCCTGCCGGTGCCGGGGTCCCCAGGTCCCTGTCCCCCAGGCCTGTACCAGGGTCTGAGCCCAGCACTGGTACAAGGGTTGGGAGACAGGGCCATGGGGAGAGGAGCCGCCGCTGCCGCTGCTGTCTCGGGGACGCCGCCTCCCCGTGGGCCCAGTCCCTGCCTTATACCCAGGTCCAGGGAGGGCGGGGGTTCCTGCCAGAGGAAGTGGGGCCGCATCAAAGAGGGCAGGAAGGGGCAGGGACAGGTTGGGGGACGCCGCCCTGAGTCGCAGAAACTGCACACCCACCCCACCCTATGCTGGGGGCAGTAGAGATCCAGAGAGGGGCAAAGGGGGAGTGTGGACTCCAGTAGAGATCCAGAGAGGGGCAAAGGGGGAGTGTGGACTCCAGACGGAGACCCAGAGGGGGATGGGAGGTCACGGCCCCCTCCCCTCGGCCGCAGGTGTTTCCGTTCGGGTGGGGCGGCTGTGTTTACAACAACAGCCCGGCTCCCCGGTTTCCTCCTCGATTGTTGGGGCGTCTCCTTGGCACCCCATTGCGTCAGGTTGTGTGCTGGGGTCAGAGTGTGTGCTGGGGAGGGACCTCTGCTGGGCCTGGTGGATGCAAAGACCAAGTTTAAAAGACCCCCTGGAACCCCTCGACAGGCCTTGCACCTGAAGAGTGGGGATAAGGACTATAGGTTCTTTTCCATTTTTTAATTTTATTTTGTTTTTGAGGCAGAGTCTTGCTCTGTCGCCCAGGCTGGAGTGCAATGGCACAATCTTGGCTCATCACAACCTCCGCCTCCCAGGTTAAAGCCATTCTCCTGCCTCCATCTCCTGAGTAGCTGGGTTTACAGATGTGCGCCACCACACCTAGCTAATTTTTAAATTTTTAGTAGAGAAAAATTTTAGTAAATTTTTCACCATGTTGGCCAGGCTAGTCTCAAACTCCTGACCTCATGATCCACCTGTGTTGGCCTCCCAAAGTGCTGGGATTACAGGCATGAGCCACCATGCCCGGCCAAGAGAAACTATTTCTTAGCCCAAATATTCGTGTGTCATAGTTCAGGAACAAGTCAGTGACAAACTTCTAAGTAATTCAACCTGAAGAAATTCTTTATATTCCAAGATAATTGCACTCTGAAAGACACCAGCCTTCCGGCCAGGTGCAGTGTCTCACGCTTGTAATCCCAGCACTTTGGGAGGCCAAGGTGGGTGGATCACGAGGTCAGGAGTTCAAGACCAAGATGGTGAAACCCCATCTGTACAAAAATTAGCTGGGCATGGTGGCAGGCACCTTTAATCCCAGCTACTCTGTAGGTTGAGGCAGGAAAATCACTTGAACCCGGGCAGTAGAGGTTGCAGTGAGCTGAGATCGCACCACTGCACTCCAGTCTGTGCAGCATAGTGAGACTCCATCCCAAAAAAAAAAAAAAAAAAAATATATATATATATATATATACACACACACACACACACCAGCCTTCCTCATCTGAAAATCTTTCATGGAATCATAATTTCTGTAGAAATCTGCATATGCCTTCTTTTTTGGTTCAGCTACAGCAAACGTATAGAAAGCTGCAGCCCCCAGAGATACCATAATGCTTCAACAATATGAAGTCACAGATGCTTGGCCAGAAGGCCACGCATCTGAGGTTTTGGCAAAACTTCAGAAGCCATGGTGGTTACTGTCCTTGATAACGTACGTCCGCCTCAACACCAACGTCCTTCCTGATTGATGGAAAAATGGATGGTCGTGAAGGAATTAATGATGTGAAGTTGCCACATTTTCACTGGGCGGACCTTGACCCCTAGGCTTCAGGGGCTCAATAACTGGAAGCAGTAAAGCTGAGCCAGAGGCCCTAGATGCAACAGAGACCCACCGAGGCTCTGTTCCAACTTCTGGCCCTGCAGCTCCCTGGCCGTGTGTGGCCTTGGAAAAGAGACCCACTCCTCCACCACAGAGCCTCAGTTTCCTAATCTGTTAAATGGCTTCTTGCCTCCCTGCCCTATTGGGAGGATCAATATGCTCATGTGTGCCGGGTCCCGTGGCTCATGGCTGTAATCCCAGCACTTCGTAAGGTCGAGGCAGGCGGATTACTTGAGGTCAGGAGTTTAAGACCACCCTGGCCAATGTGGCGAAACCACGTCTCTGTTAAAAATACAAAAGTTAGCTGGTGTGATAGCGTGCACCTGTAGTCGCAGCTACTCAGGAGGCTGAGGCAGGAGAATCACTTGAACCCGGGAGGTGGAGGTTGCAGTGAGCCGAGATTGCACTCCACCTGGGCAACAGAGGGCGACTCAGTCTCAAAAAAAAAACAAAAAAACAACAAAAAAAACAATGCTCATGTGTGATAATGGGATAGAACCGTGCTGATTAAGTGTACACTGGAAAGTAACAATGCGGGGGGCCCTCAGCCTGCTGTTGGAGAAAGGCCCCATAGTGTCATGTTACAGCATCCCCTGAGGCCCCTTGGTCAGGCTTAAGGACCAGGGCCTCTGGCAGGCAGCCCTTGCTGTAATGGACCTATGGTTTTTGTTTTAATATTTATTGTATGATTGCAGAATCCTGGCTCCATTACAGCAAGCCCTGGTAGTTTGTCACGGGATGTTGAGTCTGTTTTAGCATGTTTCTAGAATATTGTGTCGAATATCTATAGGGGGCCCCAATGGCATTGCCTTTTGGGGCAAAAGCTAACAGGAAAGTTAGCTTTTATAGTACGGTTCTGGGTTTATAATGATAGCGGTCAGGCCAGGTGCTGTGGCTCACACCTGTAATCCCAATACTTAGGGAAGCCAGGGCAGGAGGATCGCTTGAGCCAGGAGTTAGAGACCAGCCTGAGCAACATAGGGAGACTCCTGTCTCTATTAAAACAATAATAATAATAATAATTAGGCCAGGCGCGGTGGCTCATACCTGTAATCCCAGCACTTTGGGAGGCCAAGGCAGATCACGAGGTCAGGAGTTCGAAACCAGCCTGGTCAATATGGTGAAACCCCATCTCTACTATAAATATTAACATTAGCCAGACGTGGTAGTCCCAGCTATTCGGGAGGCTGAGGCAGGAGAATCGCTTGAACCCAGGAGGCGGAGGTTGCAGTGAGACAAGATCATGCCACTGCACTGCAGCCTGGGTGACAGAGTGAGACCCCAGTTGGGTCTGTAGTCCCAGCTATTCGGGAGGCTGAGGCAGGAGGATCACTTAAGCCCAGAGGTCCGAATCTATAGCAGGCTAGGATGACACCACTGCACTCCAGCCTGGGTGACAGAGTCAGACCCTATCTCAAAGCAAAAAAATAAAAAGTCAGGCAACAGACCTACCTTGTGAAAACAGGGCAGGTCTCGGTTATCTTGTATTGCAGCCCTGCACCTACGATATTAGAGCCAGATGGGCGTCATTGCTGCAGCCTCCTGTGGGCTATTAGAATACTAAGTAAGACCTTGGGCTCCTGTAATAGGCCCTGCTGATATTATATGGTTGCAATACTCAGGTATATTATAGCCGGCCCATGGCTGTATTTGTAATTATATAATTTAAAATATGTTATCGGCCAGACGCAGTGGCTCACGCCTGTAATCCCAGCACTTTGGGAGGCTGAGGCGGGCGAATCACAAGGTCAGGAGATCAAGACCATCCTGGCCAACGTGGTGAAACCCCGTTTTAATAAAAATACAAAATTTAGCTGGGCATGGTGGCATGTGCCTGTAGTCCCAGCTACTCGGGAGGCTGCGGCAGGAGAATCGCTTGAACCCGGAAGGCGAAGGTTGCAGTGAGACAAGATTGCACCACTGCGCTCCAGCCTGGTGACAGAGCGAGACTCCGTTTCAAAAAAAAAAAAAAAAAAATGTTATTTATGTAGCAGGCACTTGAGCTCATTGAACTAGTCCCAAGGTGTGTGAGTGGAGTCTGGAAATT